CACAGGGTTCTCAGTGGATGATGTTTCATAAGTAGATTCCACTCATGGTGCCCTGTGTGAGTCAGAGTAGAACTGTGCCCCACAGGGTTCTCAGTGGATGATGTTTCATAAATATACTGTTAGACCTTTCTTCTGAGTTGTCGCTGGGTGGACTTGAACTTCCAAACTTTCAGATACTAGTTGGGGGCATATTCCCTGTCTGCAGTCTGCCCAGGGACAGTTGATGTATGTGTGGCCACCAAAAAATATAACAAAGGAGCATGGGAAACCTCTGAGAGTGAAGACGCTCCTTAGCTAATGTGTAGCTCGCAGTGAGGATGGGTCAGGTGTTGCAGGAAGACATACGATTCCAGTGACTTAGAACATTCTACTTGGAAGCCTTGAAGGCATAATTGTTAAATTATCAGATACTGCTCCATGGGAGAAAGATGAGACTTTCTCTTTCCGTAAAGATTTACAGCCTCGGAAACCCTGTACAGGGTCGCTATGAGTCGGAACCGGCTCCACAGCACATAATCACCACCACCAAACAAATATGTTAGCTGTTCCAACCTACCAGCCACCCCTGGGGACAGATGTGTGGTGGTCTGGTCCCTGCTTTGGAAATGGGGCAGCTCTATCTTGGAGTCCAAAGTCTGATGGCAGTGGGTTTGAGCTTCTTATGTGAATACATGGAAGTGTCTCAGAAGACAAGCCTGGCAAACTGCTTCTGAAAGGTGTTTTTTTGAGACTCAATGGAAGGCAGCTTGTCTGCGTTTGCGTCAGAACAGACTAACATATCTGGAGCTCACATTTGTCACAAATGACAGGACAGTGACAGTTGAAGCTGCCCCTAGTTCCTGGGTGTGGAGGTCTGGGGCTAGGGATTGGTCAGTGTGTGGGCTGTAGTGGCCAGAGAGGGAAGAAAAGGGATGGAGAGGTGAGGTGAGCTGGGCTGGGCATTCCGCGGACCAAGTCATGTCCCCAGAAAATATGTATGGTCAGTCATAACCCCTATGTCCGTCGGCGGTTCAAATCCACCAGCTGCTCTGAGGGGAGCCGATGAGGCTGTGTTCTCCCATAAAGACTGGCCGTCTGGGAAACCCTGTGGGGCAGTTTTGGGGCGGGATGAGTCGGAGCCTACTTGAGGACAGTGGGATATACCTGTGAATGTGATCCCTTGGGTACTAGGGTTTTGTTTGTCTACATTGTGGACATCTCTGTTTCTTTGTTAAGTGTTGTGGACTCTGTTCCCATGTGTAGCAGTGCCGTGTTAGGGTTTCTGAGGAGGAGGAGCTGGTGGGTTGGAATCGCCCACTTTGAGGTTGGCAGTACAGTGCTTATTCTGTAGTACCACACCAGGGGTACACGGGTGTGTGTTCACCGAATCACTTTTGAGATACAGAAGGGGCAGATTTGGCCCACGTTTAAGGGGAAATAGGTTCCCCGTGCAGCACAGAATAGATACTTTCCATCAGAGCCCGGTGACAGACAGACAGAGAGGAAGAAAGGGCCTTGGAGAGCCCTGAATGTGCACGTCTAGCCTCCAGGCCTGGGGCACAGTGGGTTTCTGGTACAGCCACCCTCTCGGGGCATTGTGTTCCTGCCACATTCACAGTGCCAACACCCACATCTGAGCCTCACTGAGGGTCTCCCCACACCTCCCCTCCCCTTTCTTGTCTTCCTGCCTCCAGCAGTGGGTTCCACCCCCCACCCCACAAACCAACTGGGTGTGGGGTGTGTTTCCGGGGCGTTGGGTGGGGCAGGCAGGGCAGCAGTGGGTGGCAGGCCCATGAACAATGGGCACCCGCGAAGCAGCCAAGCCGGGCCCAGAGTGCCAACCATTGTCTGACTCTTGGCACTTGGGTGGGTTTCTTGTGAAAGGCCAGTGTTGGTGGCAGGTAGGCAGTCGGGTGACGGGCAGTCACATGAGGACGCAGTGGGTGCCAGGTTGTGTGGGGGTGTCCCATGAGTCATCTGGTCCTTAAAAATAGAGTGTGGCTGCCCCAGGGGACCCGAGGGGAACCAAGTTTCCAGTAAAGGTTTCTCCTGCATTGTGGGTCTGGATGAGGTCGAGGCTTGTTCCTCCAAGCTGGATTCACGGGGGCTGCGAGGCTGGGGGCTGGGGACCCGGGGCCCAGCAGCTGCAGGCTCTTGTGTAGTGTTTGTGTGCATGTGCACCACTGTTAATGTGTAGTGTGTGTTTGTGTAGGAGCAGGTTGTTTGTACAAGTGCAAGCAGGTGTACTACATGAGTAGGCACATAGACCTGTGTGTGTTAAGTGTGTGCTTGTTGTCTGCACCAGAGGGCGTAAACTTCTATCCACGTGCACTTATGTGTGTGTGTGTGCATGTCTGCCCCTGTGCTGTTCATGTCTGTGTGTGTGTGTGTAAATGGGTGTGTGCACATCCAGATCTGCCCAGCTTTGATGATGCGGTCCTTAGCGTTGCACTAATGCCTTTTCTCACATGCTTTCTGTTGTTGGGCACCAGCCACTGGATTTCCACTCTTGTTGCCCCTACGTGACATAGTAGAACTGGCCCATTGGGTTTCCTAGGCTATCATTTTTATGGAAGCAGACTGCCAAGATCTCTCTCCTGAAGATCAGCTAGGTGGATTCAAACCTCTGACCTTCCGTTTAACAGCTGAGCACCTACCCACCGCCTTACTAGGCTCCTTTCTTTAATGCCATTTAAATATTAAATATTAAAAAGTACCATGAAGTGGACTTTCAGAAGAACAGACAGATCTGTGATGGAAGAAG